GAAGCGTCGGTCTTGCTCGAGATGGAGCAGCCGTGTCACGGCTGCAGTCTGGTCACTGCGCAGGCAGCTTGTCCCTCTGGGGGCAGTTACGGTGTCTGTAAACCGACTCAGGAACGTGCGTCAGACACTGAGTCTGCGACTCTGCTGTCCTCGTCGTCTGCTGCTTGCGCCTGCTCTTCTGTGGCTCAGGGAGGCCTGGAGACTTCAGCTTCTCTACAGACAAGAGGCCAGGGACATGGAGGGGCCTTTGTGCTTGGCGGGGTGGGGCGTGCAGCTCGCAGGGTTCTTGCTCGGTTCCAAAATCAGCTCCAAGGCGTGCCGTTGCTCACTGGTGCATCCATCTGCAGGAGCCACCAGCGTCAGCGTGGGGGCTCTCGCATGGTCCTGAGTCTCTGCATGTCCCTGCCACACCCTCCTGGGACAGTGCAGCTGCCCCCTCCCACAGTGTCCACTCTACACAGTGGCCTGATCACACCAAATCTGTCCCAGCTGACCTCACCCTGAGCTGCAGACCATCCAGCTGCCATCCCACGGGCATCCAACAACATGGCCAGAGCCAAGGGCAGGTCCTCCCCACTCCTGGGACCTCCATGAGCCCTGCGCTCTCCAAGTGCAGCCAGTCTGACCCCCAGGCCACCCCCACCTGCATCCCACATCTCACATCCCACATCTGGCCGCCCGCCTTCACCCACGCAACTGGCTTGCCTTCCCTCTGCCCTGCTCCCCTGTCCACTCTCCAAGCCTGGCTCTTTCTAGTCTGATCAGGCTGCTCTCTGGATTCATGGAGACTTCCTCAGCACTGTGGCCCTCCCCCAGACCTCAGGTAAGTCCGGTCCCGGCCTCCTGCCAGAGCGTGGGCATCGGATTCGTGGCCTGGGGCTTGCCCCATGTCTGTGCACGTGGAGGGCGGGTTTGTATCACTGCATCTTCGGGGCCTCTCGTGTGTACCCGGACGGTTGCCCACTCCATCGTCACCCCACTGGCTGGACCAGGCGTCCGTGGTGGAGCACCCAGTTCCAGGGGCCTTGCCAGGGCACACCCGCGAACGGACCACTCTGCCCCTCCGGGGCCTGCTGTCCACAAGCAGGGGACGGATGGTGACCGACCTCTCTCTGGTGAAATGACCCAGAAGAAGGCCCATGGGTCTCAGGAAAGGGGCTGCCTGGCTTCCCAGAGGCCCACGCTGAGCCTCGTGGTTATTTAGGCCAGGCCCCTGCCTGCGGACAGTCAGCCCTCCTCTGGGGAGCTGAGGCAGTGACCTTAAGCAGACTGATCGTCCCCCTCCGGGGCCTTGCCCCGGGGGTCTGATTACAGTGAACGTGTGCCCCCCACCTATCCCAGGTCCTCAGCAGTTGCCTAATTGGGAGCGTAATTAGCTGCTCGCACCCTTAAAATCAGCAAGTGCTGACTGTGCCTGTGACGGTCAGCTGCGCTGACTGACCGCGTGAGCACCTCTTTGTTACGTAAGTCATGGTGGATGTGAGTTTGAGCCCAAGAGAAGGCCCGGGAGGGAGGGCTCCGTGGGAGGGGAAGTCCCGGCTCCGCCTGGGGCTGAGGGCAGGGCTCGTATCTCAGTGGGGTGAGCTGGGCGCTGCTCAGCTTCTGACCCCAGTAGCCTCAGCAAGTCCCCCAGGTGGGCTCGGGGTTTCTGTGCGTCTTGGTGGCCGGGATGTTGTGAGCCATCGCTGGGGCCTCTGTCGCTCAGACTCTGACCAGCGGTCAAGGGTAGACTGAGTCACATGGCCAGGCTGGGCACTGCGAGCTTCTGGGGACCGGCAGGCCTGGTGGACTGGACCTTCTAGTCTCTGGGTTTTCGGCCAGCGTGGGGATGGGGCTGCGGTTCGGCTGGTGCTGCCTTTTCGCCGGAAAGAAAAGCCACTCTGGGGGGGCGGTGGGATACTGAGAATCAGAGGGGCACCAGCTGTTCATGCGGTTGGGAAGGCGTGTCTGCCAAGGCGGGGGGGATTACACGGCGTGTGTTAGCTGGGTTTACAACCTCTATGAATTTTGAAATATTTAGACAGATGGCGCGGGGGCCCTTGTTTGCACACTCTCCCTGGGCCTCACAGATGTGAGGGTGGGCCTGGCTTGGGTCCTGTCTGTGCTCTCGGGGCCTGAACAGTGCCTGGGGCACAGCAGGCGCCCAAGAAACGTTTGCTGAGCGAACAGATCCCGCTCCTTGCACCAACCCCGTGTTCACCGTCTACTGCCCCTGCGCGCGTGGGTGTCCTTGGAAAAACAAGGCAGGTGAGGCCGACTGTTTAAAAGGGGGACTTTATTGACTCCTCCGGAGCAGCGCGCCGGTGCCCCGACTCCGCTCCAGCACACGACAACTCCGCAAACCTGCTACTCAGTTCGGAACCAAGACCACCTGGCACTAAAAACACATTGAAAACATCGACGCTCTTCCCTTTTTTTTCCTTTTTTTTTTTGGTACAAAATGATACAAACAACAATACAAAATAGTTGTGCTGTTGACAATTACAAAACAGTTGGAACGTTTGTGTAAGTGCGCAACGCTCAGAGGTGCAGCGTGGACACATCACACTCCAGTATCTTTCCCAGGACAGCCACAGTCATGCGGGCTGCTGCTCATGTCCGTTTTCAAAAAGAAACATGCAAAAAAAAAAAAATACAGAATGGAAAAAGGAGAGAAAGGAAAAGCGAACCGCGTTCCAGTTATACACAGAGGTGGTCCCCGCCGTCCTGCCGCTTCGAGCAGGGCCTGTCTTTTGTGCACCGCGTCGCTGCCGGCTGTTCCCCGTGATGGGCTGCGTGTGGGAGACTTTGCTTGCTTTTCTGGTGTCGCTCCTGTCAGCACTGACAAACATCGAGACTCCCCTCCCTGGCTTTTCCCTGGAGAGAACGGAGTTGTCATCTCAGAGGACCGTGTGTGTCCACGGTGCTCCCGCCAGGGAACCTGAGGCATCTCTGAGGGCCTGACGACTGGCCCTGACACTTCGGCAGGGGGAGGCCTAGCACTTTGGATGTTCTGAAAGACGCAGGGAAGAGAAGGCCTGCTTGGCCAGGAGCTGGGGTGCTGAGCCCCGACAGGCACGGGGGCCCCGGGCTGGGGGTGCCCGCTGACCAAGGCCAGGCGGTTCTTGCTGCTCTGCCCAACAGCACACGTCTCTCCTGCTCACAAGGACAAAAGTTCCCTAGAGGAGCTGAAGAGGAACTCCCTGGAGCACTTTGCCAGTGCTGAGTCAGCCTCCACAGCCGTGTCCCCTGGTCTGGACACACTGCATCGACCAGCTACGTGAGAGAGACATTTGACACTGACTGTCCGCTGAGCTGACGCTCACTCGTGGTCGGGATGGAGTTCTGGGATGCATCTGGGAGGGTGTGGGCACCCTGTGCTTTTCTGGCCTCCAGGGGCTGCCCGCGATGGGGGTGAGAAGGGACAGCCGTCCAGCTGCCTGGAAGCAGGGATGGGGGTGGGAAGCCCCCTGTCGACTTGCCCCCAGCTGGCTACCGCCGCCTCAGCCTGGGGCACATGGGCACAGTGCAGCGGGGGCCTGGCAGTGAGGAGAGGCCCCGGGAGAGGGGAGAGAGGCCGGAGGGAGGCGGTGAGACGGATCCCTGCGTCCCGCTCTTCTGGCTGGAGGGAGGCAGGGGCTCCTGGTGCCCGAGGGGTCGGTGGGATTGGTGTTCAGGATACCAGGTTCGGCACATCCATCCCTGAGGTGAGCCCAGGGCCTGGGGACCCAAGGAGGCCTCAGGACGTCAGAGGGGAGAGCCCACAGCTGGCTGGGCCCCCTGCCCACATCCACACTTAGAACTTCGACTGGAGGATGGACTTTCCAAAACCAAACACAAACAGAGGATTCCAGCTCACATCACACCAAACCCGACACTGCCAGCCACCCCGAGAATGGCCACGCCCCCAGGTGCTGGGACAATCCTCATTGGCTACCTGACCCGGAGCAATTTGCATAGCATGGCTTTGGACTGGGGGCGTCCCCTCCCCTCCCCTCGGCAGGCCACCCCCACGGTCTGAGAGTCTGTGAGATGCCGTCCTCGGGAAGGGGCATCGGCACATGACACGGGTGACTGCCGCCTCTGTCCATCCGTCCCTCGCCAGCAGTCAGGGAGGCGGCAGGATGGATGGAGCCCACCTGGGGCCACCATCAGGCCCGTGCCCGAGCTCGTCTCTCCGGCTCAGCTCCAGGAGGATGCACTGAGTTAGTAATGGGCTTGGTTTGGGGGAGAACCCTGACGTCCAAGGGGGACACACCACGCGTATCACACACACACACACACACACGGGTACACTCAAGTTCACCTTCGAGGCCAAAGCTGTTTAGAAAAGAGAATGACCATGGCAATGGGGGTGGGCTGGAGGCTGGGGAGTGGATCAAGGACCCCCAGGTGGAGAGACCAGGGGTCATGTGCACCCCAGACCCCCCCACCTCCCCAGGCCCTCCTGAGGCCTCCCCTGACCCCGGGAGCAGGTGCGGGGTGGGGCTCCAGGGCGGGGCTCCTTGTCAGCGCTGGGGCTCTGACGCCAAGTCCTGCGAGGGCCGCCTACGCCCCTCCCTGGGGAGCCTGAGAGCAGACGAGGGTTCCCCCAGGAGGGTGTCTTCTCAGGCTGGGGCCTGAGGCGCCTTCACAGCCAGAGCGGCTGTCCCTGGGAGACGGCGGGGGCAAGAGATGCACCGGGGCCTTTCCTGCCCCAGTGACAAACGCAGCAGGGGGCTCCCCAGGGGGTCCTTGGGACACGGCCCCTTTCGCTGTCTGCTCTGCGGCACTGACTGGGGTCTGGCTTGAGAGTCCGACTGCCCGTCGGGAGGGCACGT